CTGCCACTTAGCTGTGCTCCTCTCTGTCAAAGAATGAGTGCTCCATACCTTTCATTCCAGTATTGTTTATTTTCTTTTGGGTTTAGGAATTTTGAAACTTAACCCACCTATTCCCATGTTTGCTCAGGATTAGTGACAGGAATGGATTGGACACAGTAAAATTAGTGTATTTTGTTAGAGGTGTTCAACAAAGATTGTGTCAAAGAAGCGGTTCAGAATTCAATGGAAATTTTGAAAACCTTCTAATTATATTTAGCAGTGTAGGTAACAAATAGGATAGTTCATTTTCTTTCGTATCCCGTCTTGCCATCCCCCTCCCTCTTCCCCCCACAGAAATACATATGACTCATTCACACACAGACTGTCACTTAGGAGCTTGGATTACCCAGTTTGGTGATTACCTAGGTCACACCAAAAAGCTAATTGTCCTATCTCTTGTTCACACTTTTGTTTTGCAAACAATTTATGCAAACTGACTCTCTCTTTAGGCTGTGTGGCCTTCACTATAGCTCAGCTCTTAGGGAAACCCTAGAAATTCCAGCTCTTAGTTCATCGTATACGAGTAGCCCACTGGGTATAACCAATTAGCTTTAGCTCAGTAGTGAACTAATGAGCGCTGCACATATAGCAATACTCCTATGATCATTAGAACTATTTGGTGGAGAGTAAAGTTTCCAAATAGTTTGAGTACTGTGACATGAAAGAAATTGCAAATTGTGACGTGAGACCATCACTGGTGGGGCCGCAGGACAGAGAAAGAAAGGGAGAGTGAGCGGGAGAAGTTTATTTATGGAATGTCAGGGAGCCATTGAGGCTCAGCAGGCCCTCGAAGCGGAGGACTTCCCTCCGTGCTTGTTTTCTCCCTCTGACCTTGGATGAACTAGCTTGCAGTATATTATGCCGGGTGATTGTGCTGGTTTGTCATGGTTAGCATTCTGGACTGTCACTGGAATGTAGGAAACGGATGAATTTGAATTGAACCATGAGGTGGTCTGCCGGGCCCTCTCCTTGTCTCAAGGAAACCTGTCGCTGTTTGTCTGGGCCGGGCCTAATGAAAGCAATGGAGGGAAAGAGAGGTGGGCCTTTGATCTCTTTGTTGCAGCTGCTCCCTGGGAACTCGCTGAAATCAATGCCCTGTTTTCCTGAAGGAATGAATGGCTCTGCCTAACTAGCTTTGTGAAGCCGTGGGGGAATTCACTGCCTCTGTTTATTGACAGCTGAAAAGGAGCACATGGGGCGGAATGGACCTTCTTGTGAAAACCAGGCACAGGGAAAATTAGACCTCAATTTAACACAGAGGAATTTGGAAATTCACCCCAAAGGAGACGGTGGTTTCTCAGGCTTACATTAGAATTACTCAGGTTTGGGGCTGGTGTGTGACAAACAATGGCGGTTTTGTCACAACTGTGTTGTAAGTAGGAATAAGGTATGCATAATAAATGATGCTAAGTACAGGTTGATTCAACACCCCCTTCTTTTTTTAAACACAGAAGTTGAGAAAGACAAATATCAACCATGATATAATCAGGTGATTCTTTTATCTTTAAGAAGGAAAAAAAGGCTAAAAAGTTAGGTGATGCATCAAATAAACATTATGAATATACCAGTTCTAGAAAATGTGTCTTTCATTCATCTGTGTTTCAAACTGTCTTTGAGCTTTAGATCTAAGTTCATGCGATAGCTATTCATGCCTTTCTTAATTCTGTGTGTTGCATGAGAACGTTATAATACTGTGTTTATTTTTTTTTTTTAAAAAACTAATATTCTTGGGATATTGTAACTGGAAGTCTCTGTCAAACATAAATGAAGCTGGCTAATAGGCCAAAACAGCACCCGAAGTTAGAATAGCTCACGAGTCTTAAAATTAGCACCTCAATTTTTAGAACACATTAAGGTAAAAGGCTTAAATTTATCACAAGGAAACATGACCATACCTTCTTTTACGTCTCCCCCCACTTGCTTGGTTTCCCAGGAAGAATTTATGGCTTCTTCCTTTGGCCCCTCAGCCCTTTGTACACACCTCTATTATAGCACTTAACACATTGCCCCGTAGCTCTTTGTTAGGTGTATTCTTTTAGCTGGAAGTGAAGCAGCTGTGTTGTATTCATTTTTTTTTTTTTTTATCTTCAAGTCCAGCAAATCTCTTGGCTCAGTAAACGTGTGCTGAATGAATGGGAATGATAGCTCCCTGTACGTTACTTTGAGTGTAATTACTTATCTAGGCTTCAACTGCAAATACTAATCAGAGAAAACCTTGATCGGTGCTGTTGCTTTTTAAAATCTTTCCTTTATAGAGAGTTGTTAGACACTTTTTGATTTGGCAAGTTTGTGGAGAATTTGCTTAGCCCCTGAGGAGAAGGCATAAAAAGCGTATGTCATTGTCCTTTTCAGACCTAAGCTCTGTGATATTCCTTACTATAAATAAATCTTAAGATAATAATTAGATTTTTTCAATAAGAAGATGGAACAGCTTTTAGAGTTTCATAGACTTTCACTTGACCAGGTTTGGTGATTGAGATGGATAAAGCTTCCGTTCTACATGATTTAATGCTGTGATATGTAATGTTAAATAATGCAAAACAAAACAACCTTTGACAGTTTGTCTTTAAGCAGATTTACTACCACTGGATGTTAGGAATTCCTTATCAAAGGAAGCAAACAAACACCTTCACTTGTCAGTGAAAAGCATAAAGGAAACTTCAGTTCTAAAAGACTAACTGCTCAACTCCGATTTTACAGAATCTTAAGACAAACCCAATTTCTGAGCTATTCTCAAGTTACAATCTATGTCTTTTTTAAACTAGAGCCTTAAATGGGGGAATGGTTGTCAACATTCTTTGGGAAAATAGCATCATAAAATCATAATGGAAAATTTTAGAAGGTGTGGAGAAAAAAAAGGTTAACACACAAGTACAGAAACTAGCTAATATTCTACTCTGTTATCTTTCATTTTTTACCACCGAAATTATTTTTTAAAGAAATTTATTTGGATTTCTGTTTTTGATTAAGGGTAGGGATGAAGTTTAAAATGCAAGTTTACAAATTTGTGAATTGTGGTAAGGATCATGTGGAGGAATGGGCTGTTGTATAGGTTGTAAAAATGTAGACGATTCAGCAGGTTGTGATTCTGCTGGGATTTCAGATTTGTTGTGAAACAGGAAAATTACCAAGGTTTCATCATTGGCCGACTATCCTCCTACCCCCATAAGTATTAACTTGTAGATAAGAAAGCATTAAGCGTAGCACTTAAGTTTTATAACTTGGCTGCTCTATCCTCCCAGTTTCTGGACTTCATTTTGTGTGACATCACCAAAGTAGGGAAGGGCAGAGGGATAGATGGGAAAAAAGAGAAAATCAAACTGCACTTTTCCATTTGATGTTTTAGCTTTCAGGGCTGAGACATGTCTTCATCTTCACTGATAAAAAGAGCTACATATAGGCCAAGGATCTGACTGCAGTTAAAAATTGTGTCCTTGCTATGCTTATAGATATCAGATAACTTCAGATATGTAGTTGTCCATTGAAAGAGCCTTTTTCTCAGAACTGAAGACTGCTGTAATATCCAAAAAGAATGATTTCAAGTAATTTAAGACTCAAACCCTCAAAATAAGTTTGGGGATCCACGTATAGAAGATATCTGTATGTGTGTGTATGCGTGTGCTTATCTCTGTAAGCAAACTTCCTAGTGGAAGGATACCAGATACTTCCCTCTGAGACAGCTTGCTGCCCATCCAGACTGACTAAATAAAGCAGCCCACCCAACAACAACAACAATAAATGGAGACATCCTCCTTACCCAGTGGACTGAATTGCAAGAAAGACTGTATTCTGAAATACGGAGTTATTTAGAATTAAGTTACCTTCAAGTACATGTAAGATCAGATGTTAACTATTGTAGAGATCTTCTAGATAGCTAATCATTTGTAATTAATCATTAGTATCTTAACGAAGGTGTTAAAATACTTAATACATGTTTAGTAGTTGCAACATTACTTATTGTCCCCTTTTGTGAGATATTTTTCAGCAAGGCAAGACCTCAACTCAGGAGCCAAGATCTCAGTTCAGCTCATACCTAAATTATTATACCTCGACCATTAGTTTTCAAATTAATAAGGTTCTGCTATTTAAAAAACAAGCCTCCACGGTCAGTACATAAATATGGACTCCCCGTGAGGATAGACTGCCCAAAGAAGGGGTTTGCTTATGGATGGTGCTCAAATATTCATCCAGTTGAATTGGATTGCTAGTCCTTGATGAATTTATATCTATAACGGTGAGGGTTGATAAGATTGAGTTGTTATTAATCTATTTTGTCTTCATTCTTTTCATGGAAAAGTATATTTAAGTTGTTTTCAGTCTTTATAAATTCCACTACTGCCTTCCCTTCAATTGCTGTCCAGTCTCTGTTCTTTTACCTTATCTCATCTCCCCCCCAGTCCTGCTCAGGTACTTAACTTCCTTCTCCCAAAGGATAGTGGTCTTAGCTACTTAGTTGACAGGTTCTGATTATCATTTAATCTCTGCTGAGGGCTTTGAGGCTGTGAGGTATTTTCACTTGAGCTGAGGTTTCTGAGAAATAATTCCAAGTGCTCACTGCTCATGAGGCACAGTATTTAGCACTTTACTTGAATTAACTCATTTAATCCTCAAAAGGGTCTTATGAGGTAGGTACCATTATTTCCATCTCACAGGTATGGAAGTGGAGGTAGAGAGTAAATGGTTTGCATGAGGTGGCACTAAGTGGTGCCAGGATTTGAATGAAAGCATTCTGACCCCAAAGCATATGCTCTTCACCATGTCACTATTATTGTCTCTAAAACTAAACATCCTTGAAAGACTTAAAGGCATGCCTTTAGAATGTGGGGATTGGGCTCTGTGGCATGTTGATGGAGAGAGAGTTTCTCATCCTGGCGTCTCTGAGCTCATATTCTGTATAGATAAGTGTCTGCTTAACACACTGTCAGCGTGGTCTTTTCTCAGTGCTTTTTTTCCTCCTCTAGGATTGCTCTCACGTCTGCTGTGGGCTCTGTTTTGTGTGACACCTTAAACTCACCTGTGCTTCAAACTTAGAAGGGTAAGTAATGTCTCCTGCTAAACCCTCTGATGCTGGCCCAGCCTGTGCCCCATGGTCAGTCATGACTCTGCGTTCTCATGCTCTCCCTACGTTAGAACACGCACCAAAGTGGAAACCTCTCCCACCATACAGAAAAGACTCGCTGTCAGAGAATTCATGTTTGAGGAATTTTAAGCCTTGAGGGAAAAATAGCATTGAGAGATACAGGTTGAGAATAAATTTATGAAAGCCTGTTTTTTAGTCTTTAGAAAAATCAAGAGAACATGCTAAGGATTATCATTGATATTTATTCATATTAAATTAGGAGTAATGGATATTGTACAATTGATTGCCATTTATCAAGACTTGCCTACTAGAAACTTTGTGATTTCCCTCCTTGTATTTTAAAAAGATGCTTTTAAATTATTTTATATAAAATAAAAGCACGTAAGCATGAGGAAAAAAATCGGGGGTATTATCTCCATTTTGAATCACATATTTAGTATATTACATATAGTTCAGAGTCTCCAAGACATGCTCTTAAAATCATAACATGAGGTGATTCTTAATTTGAATATGTTCTTTCAGAATTTCCTGAAGTTGTGAAATAAGGATGTCACTAAATCCAGTGTTTATTTGAGGGAATTCATGGTTGGCAGGGGTCACCATGTATATCAGAAGTTTTATTTCTTCTTATTCTCTACTATACATATGGAGATTATGATTTGTTTTAACTACCTATTTCAAGGTAATGATCCCTAATTCCAGCCTTAAATTTCATATCCTATATTTTTGGTGTTTTTCCCCATCACATGTATTGGTTCTCTTAAGCCCATTTGCTGCCTTCACCCAAGAGCAGCCCTCTACTTGTGTTGCAACTTCAGTGCTAACAGATTTGCTTAACCATGACTCTTGGCTCCTCGCCACACATTTTTTGTAGAATGTCCTTGAATGTAATATGTGGTAATTTTTATTCCAGTCTCCTTTGTAAGTTTCTTATCTTACACTTGAGTTATTTTCTCTAAACCTCTAGATAAACTATAGTTTATCTACTGGTTTAAATAGTTTTATCTTAAAAACTTTCCCTAAACTAGGTAAACCGCTTCCCAATTTATTTAATGCTATTGAGGCTGACTTCTGGAAAGGCTGTCCACAGCTGCCTCAGGTAGATAGTTAAAGTGAGGAGAATATTAGATGTGTGTGTTTAAATTCCTCTTCTCCACATGATTCTGATTGCAACTAGTCTGCTTCCCCACCAACACATTCAGAAGGAAAAATTTAGCAAGATCCAAAAATGCCAGAATCACTTCTGTATTTCATTTGGGTAACTTTATGAACACCAGTTTGACCAAAATTCATGCCAAGCCCATTTGTAATTGTTTTCTGTAGTTAAACGTGATATTGTCATTAAAAGCATAGCAAATAATATTACACTAAAGAATTAGGAATCTTTCAAATACATGATACACGAAACTTTGAAGCATGCAGGTAATAATAGATTCTTTTATAGGCACATGTTAGGAAATGGAATTGTGTCATGATGATCCAAATTAAAGAAAGTTTACCGAAGTGAATCAATCATTTATACTCTTTATGTTATATGTATTGTATTCTGAAACCAGTTAGTAATGTTTCCTAATTGTGAGTTTACCCAGTGCGTAAAATCATTCTTGATACTTATGATTAACATGGCACGTCTACTTTGTATACCTACTTTGTGCTCTCTACCAGTCATTGTGCCTCTATATGTACATATATAATGTGTAATCTTAAAACAGCTCTGAAAGAGAGGTGGTGTTGGCTGCCATCAAGCTGGCCCCTGACTCATGGCAGCCCCATGCACAATAGAAAGAAATGCTGCCTGGTTCTGTGCCATCCCATGATTGGTTGTGGATTGGACCATTGTGATCCATAGGGTATTCACTGACTGATTTTTTGGAGATAGATCTATCCCTATTTTATGGCTGAGGAGACTGAGGCTTAGAGAGGTTAAGGGTTTGTGCCTAAGGGTGTATATACCCAGCAAGCAGCAAATCTAGTATTCAAACCTAGAACCATCTGACTCGAAGCCAGTGCTCTTTCTTTTTATACCACATTGCCTTTCTTAGGTTGTATATAGGACAATATTATCATTTGGTTAGCTTTTTCAGCTACCTGTAGGAATACAACCTAATAGTAAGAGTACGCTTCCCATATAGTGGAATAAGGTCATGTAAAATGCATTACTTGTACCACTTTTAGGTAAGAAAAATCATTAAAATTTCCTTACTTTACATACCCTCTCCCTAAACAAATAAAACAAACCAAAAAAAGTTAAAACAGATAATTGAGGGATGAAAGGAGTTGAGGGACATAATATAGAACTGTGTTGGTAGTATTGTTAAAATTAGTAAATAAAGCACGTTTCTCCACCAGTGTATTTAAAATAACACTAGAAGTTAGGCGTGTTTATATTATACTGTAACAAAATATACCTTATTTGAGGAATAACTTAATTGATTCATTATGTGGCATTTACCAAGGTAATTTTTCCCTTTTTTTTTTTTCTTTTTGAGCAACAGGAATTAAAAGTGATTCATCACACACACACACAATCACCATGTAAATTGGAAACACATTAAGATCATAGTTACTTCATGTCGTTTCCCTAAAATGGTTCTCATTTGCCCCATATTCATCTCAAGTACACAAGAGTGTTGTTTGTTAGCTCTGATTCGGGAAAATTTGGAACTCTCTATGAAAAATTGTTTTTACAGAGAAACTTCAGTGTTTAGTTATAGCACGTGTTCTTTTTGTGCACGGGTATTTTGCTATGGGAGTTACCACTTGCCCATTTTATTGTATGTAAGGGATAAATGCAGCAGCATAATCTGTCGGTCTGTTGTCTGAGGTCTCTTTCTGTAACACCCGTTGCCGTTGAGTTAATTCCGACTCATAGCAACCCTATAGGATAGAGTAGAACTGCCCCATGGGGTTTCCAAGGCTGTAAATCTTTATGGAAGCAGGCTGCTACATCTTTCTCCTGAGGAGCAGCTGGTGGGTTCGGACCACCAACCTTTCAGTTAGCAGCCGAGTCCATAACCACTGTGCCACCAGGGCTCCTGTTCTGTAACAGAAGCTGGGAGAGACACTGCTTTCCTGATTAAAAACTCCCAATGGCTCTGCTTAGTCAGGACTCTTGGTTATAATTGACAGAACCTGATGGAACCATAGAAGAATTCTAAACAGGTGACTGACCGGAGCACATTTGCATGTTGGAAGGATCACTCAGACAGCAGCATTGTGACTAGAATGAAGGGGAGCCAACACAAAACAGAGAGACTGGAGGAGTCAGTATGAATCTCAGTCCACACACTCTTGTGTAGAAATGTCCCTTCACATGAACTTCACTGTGCCTGCAAGCCCTTTAAACTCACCGGCTGAGTGAGTTTAAAGGAAGCCACATGAAGATCGTTTGGTCAAGTAGGCTGCTCTTCCACTCACTAGCATACTCCTGCCCCCTCCAAAGTTTTTGGGCACCACAGATTGGAAGGTAGTCTCCTCTACATGGGTGCCCACTTTAGGTGATGGGAGTTGGGGATGGACATATTGGTGTCCATTAACTGCCCTTTGAGGTGTCACCTGTCTGGTATGAGAAGGAAAGCAAGTGCCAATGGAGGAGGTTAAACCCTTGTGAGACTACAGTGGCCCCACTCTGGTTGCTCTGGATTTCCAAACTATGCCTGCTGCTTGCCCAGCACATGCTAACTTCCACGTTTCCTGTCTGTGAGTTCTCTTCTTGGGTATGATTTAAGATGAAATTCCCACCTTTTTTATAATCTAAGTAGAGGAGAAAGGGGGATTTATGTTTCAGAATCTAGGGGATCAGCTTGGCCAAATTCTGCCTCTGAGACAGGGCACTTGCTCCCTAGGCAGCTTCTTGTCTCCCAGGTCAACTTCCTCTGGATGTGCCTCATGCTTTACATGCCCATCAGACTTAAGGCTATGCCTGTTTGGCAGGAAAATGGGGTCCCCTGGCTGCTGATTCTTTCAAATCTGAAGTTCTTCTGACCAGAGCTCTCTGTGCAAAAAGTTCTAATCTTTGTGTAATGGCTGACATATCTTGGCTTGTCTAGACTTCTCTCCAGTTTTCTTTTGTTTTTTGTTTTTAAGCACCTTTAGACCTTCTGAAGGTCTCGCGTGTTCAGCCACAGGATGGAAGTGGAGTTTCCATTAAGGACATGACTGACCTCAAAATCTGAACTCCTGTAGACATTTCATTTGGGCCACAAGTTCCTAGCCTTACTGCAGCGTCTTTGAATCAATGAATTTGTCACATGAAGGATTTATATCCCTTCTCCTAGTGAGGAAAACCTGGTGGGTGTAGTGGTTAAGTGCTATGTCTGCTAACCAAGAGGTCAGCAGTTCAAATCCACCAGGCGCTCCTTAGAAACTCTATGGGGCAGTTCTGCCCTGTCCTGTAGAGTCACTATGAGTCAGAATCGATTCGACAGCAACAGGTTTGGTTTTGTTTTTTTTAGGGAGGGAATCTCCCCTCCCGCAAAGCACCTCATTTTCTCTCACGCCATCATTTCCATCTTATGGAAATCAACAGTCCCACTCCCTATCCAGCATGCTGCTCTGGGAGGCAGGGCCAGGCTTGGAAACAACTACCTGAAGACTAGCCGCACTGGTTTCTCTCTTTCCTTTTCCTTTTTGCTTTGGTTTTTTAGCAATTTAAATTTTAAGATAAAGGGTTAAAGACAACTTCTTTGCCTCTCTTTCTAAGTACACGGCTAGGAATCAGAGGGGTTAATCTTGTGAGTAAGCTCTAACATCTGCCTGCCCTTCCTTCTCTATCTGCCCGAGGATTTTAAAGCACAGAACTACCCCCAGATCAGCCTTTGCAGAGTCCACACTCATCTGCAACAGGGTTTTGTGTTTCATTTTTTGAAAAATAATTGGCTCCCGTTCCAGCAGTTGTAGCTAATCTATAACACAGATATGCACTAGCCTAAGATCCTTAGCACCTTATTGAGGCC